GAATTCCGTAAAAGTAAAAAAAACACACACACACACACACACACACACACACACACATATATATATATATATATATGTGTGTGTGTGTGTGTGTGTGTGTGTGTGTGTGTGTGTGTTTTTTACTTTTACGGAATTCTTAAAGAACAGCTTTTTATATATATATATATATACATATATCCACTGGACTTGGTTTCCAAGATTTCACTCCTTTGAAAAGATTCCAAAGGAGTGAAGATGAGGGAGATTGATACAGACACAGTAAACCTTTGTAAATTTAAAGCACTACAAACCAGGTACATTGATTCATTTTTCAGCACTTTAGATAGCACTGGTGGGGGAGATGTAGTATTTGATTATATACTAAGCTGCAGGTTTGGATGAGAGAACATTCCTAAGCAAAATGTTTATATAATGTCCAAACTTGGCAATGTGTTGATCCCGGAATGTCCTATGGAACAGTCTGAAGCTGAAGGCTGAGGAGCCATATATGGGGAAGTGTGTTGTTAGCTAGGAAGAAACAGGACAGGATATATTTATAATGATGTTGTCTTTTTTATAGAAACATGTATTCCTGCGACAGTAGTGATTTGAAAATGATAAAATTACAAAGAATGTTGTTCTTTGTTGTCTCCCTTCACATCATTGTAATGAAAATGTATAGATGGAGATGCCAGCTGAAGATGTTTGGGTAAGTTAGAAGCGCAGGGGCCATTGGATACTTCTGCTATCCATTCTGGCAGAATCAATTCTATCAATGTGTTGATTCAATCATAAAAATATTAGATTTTCTTTGACACTTGACATTATCATAATATCAGAGAAGCTTAGCTCATGTTGTGGCGTTCTTGAGATAAAAAGTGGTTTCTGACACTGCGTTGTCTTTTTTATTTTTTTAATATTTGTTTTCCACTCTGTATTTAAAAGTTTTGCCCAAAATCTGCCAGGAATTTTACAGAAAGGGAATGTTATTGTTGGCGTTATGTGTCATTAATCAATGTGTGTTTTAGTACACTGAGAGGCAAGGAGGCATGAATGTTGTGCTGACCAGTCATTCTGCAACTGAAGCCTCAAGGATGCAAATAACCTGTACACTTCATATCATAATGATAAATGTGTATAATGATGAAAAATCACGATCTACAATTGTAGCCATTTTTGTATTATAATTTCAGTTATTTAGTATTGTAAATGATTAATGTACTCGTATCATGCTGATATCGTGTTTGTGTTGCAATAGAGTAAATATTTGACCGGTGATTGATGATACATTGCTTATTTCTGATTGGATATCGAACTGACATGAGTGAAATAAATTTTTGTTCTAACTTGTTCGTATGTTACTTTATGTTTTTATCATTAAAAGAAAAATAAATCCATGTCCATATTGATTATTCTTTACCTTTCATTTGATCATTTTAGGAGCAGTGTGACCAGATGTCACATAGACTGTCACACAGCTGATTTATGCACAAAATGTTTGCAGGAGTGACCTGTTTTTGTAGATGTCCTTTGTTATGTTAGGGAAAGCTCTGTGTTTACACCTTTAAGTTTTCTCTCTCTGTTTCTTTTCCTGAGATGAGATCACTTGGGACAAACTATTTAAATAACACTTCACAATGTTTATTTTAAATAACCATGAGACATAACAAGAGATTTTGAAACACATGTAATCTTACTCAGTGCAGAGAAATTCCTTAGGGTTACAGAAGGCAGCACTGATCAACCGGGCTAACATGTTGTTGAAATGGCCTCGAATTACAGAGTTAAAGAAGCATTTTATACAATTTACACATACAATTTTATCCTGACAGAGGAACTGTCCTAATTAGGTAAACTACTTGGGAAAACAATAGTTCTGACATGCAACTGGCAGGTATTACTAGGGTATAACAGACCCACACATCATCAGCAAGGATAATCCTAACAGTTATTAAATTGCAATAGAAGCTTGTCTGAAACTCTTTATTTAATTATTCTTCAAATAAGGTATTCTGAGGGGTTTCAGTGTATTAGTATGTGCTAAATTTAGCTAGACATTACATAGCACCTCACTGAACGCTAACTTTGTCAAGTAGGATGGGAAAATTTTTGGAATATAGATAATATTTAACACCGACAATAACCGTAATGGTTTATGTATATAGACCTGCAAGGTCCCCCCCATCCCCCTACCCCCCAAAAAAAGAAATTACATCCATGTTTTGATTATACAACATTTTGGGTAAAAAAAAAAAAAATAGCAATCAAACAAAAAACCGCTACAACCTAAAATGCTCGGTCATAAGGTACGGAGCAAAGGGAAACCAATGCAAAAATCTGCGTTTATCTTTCAAATATGCTTTTACTTTGAAATTTAGCTACAGAGGCGAAAACAGGAACTGCTAAGTGGTTGCTGTGGTAACAGAAGCTGGATACCAGAGAGGTTGCTGATTTCATAGCAATGAATCTGTCTAGTTTTACATCGAGATGGGCCAGATATACATTGTAAACAGTCGGTCATGACATAAATAAATAAGACTTTTGCCGTTCTAATGCTGACTTGAAACATAATGCACCACATGTTCAAAAGAGATGTTCATTTCCAGAATGGTACCTTTTCCAACCTCTCTCAAACACACAAGCCCCCTAAAAAAAAAGAAAAACAAGAAAAATACGAAGAACAAAATATTGATTATGTTGTTTATCTTGAAAGTGAAAAACCAAAGAACTAACAAAGAATTGTTTTCGATGTGGCTTCATGGAAGTCTTATTCCTGTAGATGGTGGTATTAAACTGTGACTCTTCCCTTACTGTACAAGAACGTCTGTCCTAATAAGTATTCCTCTATCCTCCTTCCACATCATACACACATGGAAAATTTAACACCAAAGCTCAGATGTGAGAGATGAACAGAGCTATTGAAAGTCAAATAAATTTAACAGTTGTCCAAAGTGTGCAATGATGTCAGATCTATTATAAAAATAGTAAAATTTAACAAACTCAAAAAGTCATTAAAATATCTAACAACATTTTTCTAGGTAAAATTCATCCTTTCCACCTCCTATATAATCATACAAGGAGTCAGAGTGGAAGGAAGCGCAGTGAAGATAAATCTGTGGCAATAGTGATAGAGAACCCTTTGGAGGCTGGCTGCACAAAACTAAGTTCACCTTCCTGTAAGATAAGACCCTAAACATAAAGCCAAGAGTTATAATGAAATTACCAAGATTAACCCATGTTCAGATCATTGATTTGCCCAAAGTCTATGCAAATCTGCTTTGCACAAATGCTTAGCAGCCAGACTGTAAACTCCATGAGTGATTTAACGGAAAGAGGTGTGTGTGAACTAATAAACTAATATCAAATCACATCTCCAATAAAGAGCAGGAATTATTTTAGAGGAAATATAAATCCAAGATATCATAATAAACTCATTTAGGCTTAAAACAGTTCCTAAGAGTTTAATAAACACTTTGTAATTGTTAAGTATGGATCTGCAATATCTATGATGGCACAATGTGCAGTAAGAAAAAAGTCGAGACGAATTCAGGGGTAATTTCAATATGACACTTTATTTAGTAGAACAAATGCAAAATCTCATACATACAGCAGAGAGCAGGCCTAAGAAGTCAAATTTCACTGGCCTAATTATAAGGAGACAAGGGTCTGATAAAATAGCTGCATTTATATATTTTAAAGAAAAATCAAATCATATATTGACACACCACACTGCTGGATAAAATGGTTTAAACACACTGGGATTTCCTGCACCGGGAGCTACAGTAGATGGCTACAAAATGTTATAGGCTCATAAATATAATATAGCTTGAATACATTTGCTTTAGGGCTAAGTTCATAGCATTTATTTTCTATTTACAGAGTACATAATATGAAAAATACCTTTCTGACCCCCAGTGCACAGCAGTTTGGTCTTTGATTTCAGGTTTTAATGAGCTGAGAGGAGATCTGTGAGGCTGGAAACAGAAACATATTAGACAGCAGAACATATGACATCCCACAGCGTGCTACATATTGTAACTCAGTGTAAAAATAGAATCACACAATTAATCACATTCAAATTAGTTCCACAATGGAAATGCTTCAAGTATATAAACTGTCAAATGGTTTAAATGAAAAAAAAAAAAATGTATGTTACGATACATTTTTTATGCCTCGTGGCTTTTCTAAATGCTACTAAGTCTGATCACAAAATGAATAGTAGAAAATGTAAAAGGAAATTAATGATAATTAACTGGGTACATGAATTAAAGTTTCTACAAACACAGATTAGTACTACTTCTACTTAAAACAGACTTAATGGCATGAGACCTGCTCACACCTTCAGCAGCCCAGCTCACACAGACAACCGGCAATGGTCACTTGGGATGGAAGGCGCGGTGGAGTTGTTTCATATTATAGAGTTAAATGATTCGTTGGGGGATAAAATCTCAGTGTGAAACTCATCAGTACCATCATTCAGACGGATGATTTGACAGGTGCCTCATAAACCCTGTTAGAACCCAAAGACAACCTGCCATCTCTCCTGGTAACTATTTCATTGGGAATTAAGGCTTAAGATGTTTATAAAGTGCTCTGTATGACACTCAAATCCAGCTGGATGTTTTATGTATTCGTCTCATTTCAGCCATCATGGTTTAGTCTGTTGAGGTCTAAACAGAGAATGCTTATATTTACTTCAGCACTTATCTGAATCTAGATATAAGACAATCACAACATGACATCAGTCTATTAACTACTTGGTCGACATCATCAATGTGTTCACCTTAAATACACTAGATTTTTCACATAACTGTTGGTGCACAGGTTTTCTACCAGTGTGAGCTACATTTTGGCACTACTGCCTTATCACCAGAACACTAAGTTTTATTATTCCAATCATTTTACACTGCATGTAAAGTATTGAAACCCCTGACTTTTTCACAAGCTCCAATGTGGGTATTCACACAAGGATTTTAATGTGACTGACCATCTCAAAGTAGTGCATAACCTTTTTTTTTTTATTTCACAGTTCAAATCTGGATAAAAGTAAGGAGGTGGTGGATTTGTTTGACAGTAACAGATGCAAGTCTTTCCATAGAGCTGCAATTGGGCCAGTTCAACACAATATGTTTTGATGTAACATCTCATCGTAGCGCTATGAGAGTCACCATCCTGCTGTAAGTTAAAGTAATAACAGTTAGGGATTTTTGATGCCTCTAATGCATCACACGTTTCCCCTCAACTCAGCCCATCTTCTGCTACACTAAAGAAATGTATCCCCACACCACTATTAAGGCGTTTACAGAACTACTGAGAGTTTATTAAATACAGATGAGTCCCATTTGCACTGATTTGATGGCATTAAAAAGGCAGCATGTTGCAACAAGTTTGGGACAGAATAAGGAAGAAGGCATATTAATGTACACCTCCTTTTTTAGTTTAAAAAAATCTCCATTCTTTTCTTTCATATTCAAACCTTTGCACCACTTCGTTTTGGTCAGCCAAATAAAATCTTATAACTAATATTTTTAGTTTTAATGTGACAAAAAGTGAAAAAGTACATCTTCGGTGAATACTTTTGCAAGGCAGCATTTGTAAACATCTTTGCACATCTGTCTGAACAGCATGTCACTTTATTTCACTGCTCGTTTAACTTTCAGAAATATTGTTTTTAAAAATGCCAGGGAATTAATGGTACATGAACAATGACGGATATCTTTACATTTTACAAGATTAGAAAAGAAATGTCATGTTACTATGGAATGAGATAACTGTTGATCACCTTTGAGAAGAGATAAATTACCCTCTAATATAGCTTTTTATATCAGAATATACAAAATAGTTATTTAGAGATGTATATATTCTGTAAAAAAGTATATCTTAGGAGAATTTTCAGGGTTAATAGGACCAGATGTATTTGTTATTAGACGTTTAACAAGTCAGCACCAGTGCACATTCATACAGAAACACTGGGTTAGAAGTTATACTGCTGGAATCAGACAGAAAACAAGAGACTCTTCAAAGTTTTTCTTTTTTTTTCTTTTTTTTTAACTGTACAGCTACACTTCAGTTTCTGTCTGATGAGGTTGCTGTGTTTTGCTTTGTTAATGAGGTCAATTTGTATCCACTTTCAACTTTATCAAGTCAAGATGAGGCTACAGCGTTTCTACTGATACGTTGCATCAGGTCTGGTTTTCAGGCTGAGTGCATCCTTCTGCTTCAGACCAGGGTCCCCGGATCTGCACTCGCTTCCTTTGGAGTAGTCTCTTGCTTTTGTGGATCTGGGGTCTCCTGAAAGAGAGAAAACTCCATTGACCTGTCAGGGAGCAGAAGAGAGAAAAAGATACAATCAGTACATAAAAAAAGTAAAAAACAACATGATCATAGAGTTTAATTTTTAAAGAAATGTATACATCTTGCTGACATTAACAGCAAAATCCATGATCACAAACAACTAACCATTAAAGGAGTATTGTGCTCATTTAAATGTTAAATATTTTTTCCTTTCCCATACATGTCATTGGAGTGACCAGACTGGTGAAACTGGCTATCCTAGGCTCCTAAAGGCCAGTTAGTTCACAATTGAGTGTTTTGATTAGAGAAAACGGGCGACTGTTTTCAAAGATAGATCACAAAACACCAACAACAAGTGCTGCTAAACACTATCACAAGCAGGACACAAAAAGAAAACGAAAAATTTTCTAGTGCAACAAAAAGGGCCAAATTGGAGTCTGACTGAGGGTAAAATAAGACGAGGAAGTAGTGAGGCAACTTTCAACATGGAAGGAGCGCAGATCTGCCCTGGGGATAAAAAGGGATTCTCAGTGGGCTCTCTTTTTGCTAAAAAGAAAGAAGAAATCTTACGTTTGTGATACAAAGAGGTGATAAGTGTAATGCTAAATTATCAGCAAGTAAACTTAGATGGTAGTAAGTGTGCAGGCATAATGCTGCAATGGTTGCAATTTGTCACCAAAGTGGAGGCAAACGTCTGCACAAAGCCTGGAGCCTGTGCTCTGCTCCTTTATTTTTGTCAGTTTCTTTCTGTGATCTTAAAAGTTATGACCAGAAGTGCCATGACAAAGGCATCAATGACGTCAATATTGTGAGCCTGTGTGTTGGCAGGAGACTTTCAGTCAGAAGTTTGTGCTCATTAAAAATGTTCCCACAATAAATGGTCTTAGTTGTGTGAAACAGGATGAGGGGCAGAGTAAGAGTAATGGGACAAACTTCTGCTGAGAAACAGCTAAACTAATATGAATGACAAAAAAAGAAAAGATTCAGAAAATAATGTTCTCTATTCCATAGAAGAAAACAACCATCTCTACAAACAAAAATCCTTGCTAACCCAAGCTCATTAGTCCTTTCATTTTTGCATCAAGATGCTGCACATTTTATTTAAGTGTGTGCAGAGTTTGACTTCTTTAGCCATCATCTGTTGCAGTAACAGCTGCATCAGAGCAAAGGACTTAGAGAAGCTCCACAATATGATAAAGAAGGTGGGCCCTGTTCAGGGAACTACTTTGGAAGCTCTGGACATCATTTTATAAAAAATAAACTTTCATAAAATGAAGAAAATAAAGGGCAACCCTGAGCATCGTCTTGTCGTACAACAGAGTGAATTCAGTCAGAGGCTTCTCCAGACCCGCTGTAAGACATACCACTACAGGAGATTGTTCCAACAGCATCTATAACCACTTGTTAAAGAAAACCATATGAGATATATCAACATGTTGTTTTCATTTAGAATCCATAAAACTGTTTTTGAATTAAATTGAATGAATTTAGCAAAAACAAAAGTCATTGATGAGAAGCTTTTAACTTAGTTATCCTAACAGTTTGGGACTCCAGTCACACCAAAACATGTGATAAAGTTTAGACTTTGAAAAAACAGAATGTTTGACAAGACCTGATCAGGAGATATTTTTCATAACCACTGTTTTTGAAAAGTGTTATCTATTTGAGTAATTGGTTGACAAACTTTAAACTTAAGTATAAAAATCTGTTTATAACTGAATAAATAAATTACAAGACAGCAAACAAGTTATACACTCAGCTGCAACATCTTGACTTAAACCAAAAGATGCTGCCAACACAGCACCTATCCCAGTGGCACAACATCTACTACTCTGTTAGACATTGGAAAACAACCACTGCTGTATAAAAATGCAGGAGCAGACTGAATGATCAAGCTGAATGCTTGAATCTCAGGGTGCTTAAAACAGCGATTTTAGATGCTGGTCGATATAATCCAATATTTTTTTTTCTTTAGATGAAATTGGACCAAAATCAGTGTTGTATCGGGACATCCCTAAAATGAACGAACATTTCTGCTTTCTGTTATCAGTTGAGCCTAAATAAAGCTAGGTCAAGTGAGAACAATTTCTCAGAAACGGGATGTTTATGAAAACATTGTGCTGCACTTTGTATAAATATGTTAAAATGACCAAGAACAATGCAATCAAATGGAAATACTTGTGTACTGACCGTCCATGAAGGGGGTGACCATGGAAACTTGCTGACTGGGGTATTTGAGGCCTTTGGAGGTTGGCTGGTTCCCCTTGAAGCGACTGGGCCTGGTGCACCAGAGGATGGGGGTGCGAGAGCCGAGAGATGCCTGCTTCATGGCCCTTTGAGGCAGTAGGAGGGTAGCCAAAGGCATTCCTTAAGTACCAGTCCCTAAGTCCCTCCAGGGCAAGAGCTTTATGTAGGCTTCTTGTTGAATCTTCTGGAGTAGGAAGAGAAAACTGCGGCGGCCTACGGCCAAAGGAGGGCCCAGACAGCTCAGTCTGATATGGGAGAAGATTGGGAATGGAGGATGTGTTGGTGCCAGTGGTGGGAAGAGGGGACTCATACGCTGATAGCAAAATGCCATCTGGGGAATGTTGCTGTAAAGGAATAAAAGGCCCACAAGATTTGGTCCTGGTAACTTTGACCCTACGGAGCTCTGCCTGGGATCCTCTGAGGACCATAGGGCTGTAAGGACTTGCAGCACTGGGAAGGTTAACCTGGGAATGGGAAAATCCATTTGCATGTGGAGGCACAGCCGCAGTGGACGACCGAGGAGAGGACATGTCCTGCCATATTCTGCCAGTGGACTGGTACAGCTGGTGTTGCACCTGCATCCTCTGCTGTTTACCCCAGATATAGTCCATCAGTAGTTCATTGTAGCCTCCGCTGGCCCCTCTGCCACCCACTGACAGACGCATTTTACCCTGCTCCATAGGGCTGTCACCTGGACACTCTGAGCTATCTAGCTGAATTTGTCGCAATTTGCCATCAGTCAGGGTCTCTGAGCTCTTGTATGGTCCTCCTCTATGGGGCATACCATTTCTGGGTCCAGGATCATCTGGTAGGCTAGATCTATCCAGGAGAGCCTCAGAACTGTTACTGCGCCTTGCTCTGGAGCTGTAGGGGCAGCTTCGGCGATCAGAAGAGGAGCCCTCCTGTGCCAGTGGGATAATATACGGTGCATCCAAGCTGCCAGACCACTGCTTTAACCCATTACTACCAGACACATCTGACCTATAAGAGACACAAATACAAAAACGTGAAAAGGTTATTTCAATGGGGAAGGTGAATCGATCCAGTGATAGCAGCTAGAGGTTTAAGTAGGGGTGCACTGATTGCAGTCTTCTAGCTAATCGCCAATCTTTAAAAAGTCTGACCTTCCAGTTCCTATTTTGACTGATAATGGTCAATTTTAAAGGCAACATTGTCAGTTGTTAAAAGATCACGATGCATCTTAGGTTTAGCAATTTTATTGAAAACATGGAAGGATAACCATAAAACAATAAAAACTTCATTTACCTGCATATAAGATAGTGCTCTCAAATATAAACGAAATGGTTAAAGCACTAAGAGCAACTGATTTAGAGACCTTTGCAAGGGTAGATAAGTATGGTTTCTCATCCAAAAGAGCATCAGACTAATTATCCCCACATAGCATCTATTAAAATTATGTAGAGCTGCTTATTTTGCATGAATATCACAGACCAAAAGTCTTGGTAAAGGCATAAATTCTCATAGCTACATTACACCTTTAACTTGGCTTTAAATATAAAGTTATGAGTGTCAGAAACAGTGTTTTTTGATTAGTTCAAATGAAACTGAAATACTTGTTTTTTGCACAGGTCCTCAGAGAAACTTACATCATAAAATTAAAACACTGGCAGTTAACCCTTCAGATAGAAAACACACAAAAAACAAACCTAGATATCAGATTTTTGTTAATTAAATTGGAATTTCTGACTTTTATCAACTGTCTTTAACATGTTGAGAAGAATGCAGTTTATCATCTGAAGAACATTCAACCAAAGTTTCCTTCTTTGTCTCAGTCCAACAGAGACATTGGTACAGGTTTGTTTGTTTTTTAGCATTTATAGATATAGTTATTGTACTGTGTTGCAGGTCTCATAAAACAGGCTCCATTGCAGTTACTTTAAAATCTAGCCGCAAAAATCCTGACCATGTCTAGAAACTGAGCTGATATCACACCAACTGTAAAGACTTAGTACTGGCTGACTGATTATTTTAACACTTTGTTTTTGTTTTTTGCTGAGGGCATTGGGCCAAACTTTAAAATGTTTCATCTTATTTTACAGGTCATTTAGAGAACTTCTCAAAAAGGTTTTATATTGGTAACTCAAGTAGAATTCATGTTTTAGGCGCAGTTTTCTCATTAAAGTCCTAAATTATGGAAAACTGCCTGAAGACCAGTGGGCAGCTGAGTGTTTTTTTGTTTTGTTTTTTTTAATGAACATTTGAGTGATAGCCTGGCTCTAAACTGAACATATATCCGATAATATTATACTTTGTATTATTTGGGATTTCGTCATATTTCCTATTGCTTTACATCATTTTTTATTAATATCTATTTCGATCTAAGATTTATAACTAGGCTATAAATATTCCTACACTTAAGGGATTTAATCTTTAATCTTTCAATTAGACCAATGTGTTTATTCTTTGTGGAAGTAATCATTTTAACATGCTGGAGAAGCCCAGCCAGAGTCCCAACTTGAATAAGATCTGTAGAGCAGAACATAAAAGATAAGGATGATGAAAGAAGTCTACCAACCATCAAAACTTGATGCTCAGGACAAAAGCTGAACTGAAGTTCCAGAGAAAATATGCCAATACTTTGTTAAATGATGATGGTGTACAAATTTTTTTGACTTTTGGTTTCATTTCAAGATGATACTTAAGTTCTAAAATACTCATTCTTATGCTTTAAGGGACACCCAATCAGAAAAAATGCATATTTTATTTTATGTTTAACAATTTTTGTTTCTTTATATATTTTATCATTTGTATTTTTTTTCTCCATTTCCTTGTTCTTTAGAATTGTTATATTTTAATGCAATTGAGTCGATTCAACCATTTCTGATGTATTCCTTCCAAGTCTTTTCATGCGTTTTTAAACTTTGCAAAGCTGCCTTTGCATTACAACCATCAGTATAACCAGTGCTCTTCATGTAACAGTCTGATTGAATAAATAAATCTCTCTGATAAAAGCTGTAAGAGTCATAGAATACCTGACATGAACGCTGATTGGAGCAGTTCGAGCCAACAGGGGCGTTGCTGGAACACTTCTACCTTCAACATTAGAAGCACTTCTAGGTAAAGAGTGAGTTGGACTGAAAGAGTCAACACAAGGTTTCTATAAGCCTTATTATAGAGAATCTGTTGTACATCTAAATGTGCTACACAGGTGGGTGACAGAGTGGCTAGGCTGGAGGCAGGACAAGGGTAAGACAACATTACATAACTACCTGATGGAGCTTGTGACTGAATTGCGACGTGTTCTCATTTCATAGTAAATCTCAACAGGAGACAGCTTCCTGTTGATTCTGTGGTCAGGGCTGCCCACAGTGAGCCGAGCCTGAGACGACACCCGTTGATCAGCAGCTACGCTGGGAGAAGAATCTGTGGAGAAGAACGAAAACTAAAAATGATGACGAACTGCAGCATACATACCAATGACTGCCAAACATTTCTGATACAATAAAGCAGAGTAACATTTATGTAGCGTGGACTTACCGTTGTCATGTGAAGTTGAATCTGACATAGAGCTGGTACTTTCTGACATCACAGTGTCCTCTAAAAGAAAAAAATCAGGACAGATTTCCTTTAATTGGTGTTGTTTACCAGACGCGCAACAAAATTAATGGTTTTCTAGCAGAATCTAACATCTGGTTTGCATTTATTTCTCCTCCTACAGAGCTTGCAAAACAATTCCTTACCATAAATTTCCTCCCACTTAACCACAAACTCAACAACTACTGTGATTTTTGTGATGGACCAAAGCAAATGTATAACTGAGAAGTGGAAGGGAAACTGTGTGCATTTCAAACTCATTGGTTTTTAGTAAAGGCCTTAGCGGTTTTCTAGTGACATTAGAGGAAAAACTGCCTCATAAAGAACGAAGGACACAGCAAGCAGGTTAGAGAGGAGGCTGGGGAGAAATATCTCAAATGTTCCAAATTCAATCTTTTATCCATAATGAATGAAGGGTGCAGACATGCTTCTTATGGCCATCAACCAGTGAATTGTAGTGACTATGTGGAGGTACAAGCAATTCCCCTTTAAACCAGAAGGTGACAGCAGCGATTCTCTCAAGTGAACCGTTCAAACTAATTTGATATTTTAACTAAAATATTAACTATACACTGACAACAAAAATCCAGCAATTAGCAATTATATTCACACCAATGTACTAACATTAAAAATGAAAAAATACAGAATTAACACTTTTCAGAACTCGTTATTTTCAACTATGAAGGAGAAGGAAAGTTTTTGTCTGCATTGTTTTAGGAATCTTCTATGGAGTTAAAGAAAAACTGTTGGACCCATTTACTGTGCAATTTATGCAGAGACATAAGTGATTGATTTAGAGAGAATTGATTATTAGCATGTGCTTCATACAAATCTCATCTTCAGTGTTTTATTGGGAAAACATGGATGTTGGGTTGTGAGTCCAAATATGTTCTAGATATTAAAAAGTAGGAATGCATGACTTAAAATATTATATCCTGCCAAATACTGCATCCATTACAACATTGCACACAGTTATTGAAATTGAGTCTGGGATCAGATATTGAGCACAGATTTTGTTGTGCTTGAATGGTTCATTCAAAGGCCACACAGAAAATTTAATAGAGGATTTATAGCAAGACCTGGAACTTGAAGTTCATAGACTCCCTATAGCCAATCTGACTCAACTTGAGCTACTTTGCAAAAATAATTCACAAAAATATTATTCTCTACATATGTAATGCAGTTTTAAAATATCTCAAAGACTTTTGGCTGTAATTGCTGCTAAAGTGGTTCTACTTACAGTTATATAGACTCCATAGGGCTTAATACATACAGTATATAGAAAGGCTACAGATTCAGATTTATTAGTAAAAAAAGCTTAGAATATAATGCATCTTTCTACTTCATAATAATACACAATTATGTATTGATCACATAAAATCCCAAAAATAAAGTTAAGTTTTAACATGACAGAATGTGAAAAGATTCAAGGATATGCAGGGTACTTATTTATTTTTAACAGAAATCAGGAGGAGCACCTGTATGACATCCCCTATGGACTGTCCTCTTGCTATTCAGGCCATTTCTGTCTGTTTCGGAGTGTCTGCATAGAGCGCCGGTGAAGATTGCCTTCATCTGCTTTCTTTGGCCAGAGTCATCCTGAAAACAGAATACAGCCGTTTATGTTACACCACAAGCACAGCTGTTCTCCTGCTGATGTGTAAACACTATTGATATTCGAGGGGATGACTTACCTCTAACTTGGTGCTCGGCACCAGGCCAGCTCTGCGCTGCACCATCGGGGGTTTCTCTCCAGCCTCCAGAGGGAAAGCATGTGGCAGCTTCCCAGTCAGCTCCTATAGAAGACATTTATTTTTGCCTTTTTACATGTCTGAAAGGTCCAATATGCTACATATTATTATATAAGTTAATAGCTTATTTTATCTTATATATGTAGATATATGTTAAAAATGGCTGATGCCACAACAGAGTTATAGAACGTCTTTAGGCGTGCCCCACAATCCAATGCTTGGATGGTGAGTGAACCATAGTCCTATTCACATTATAGCTCTGCAATAAACAGAATAAATGATCCTCTATTGAAGACCACTTCCTCTTTTCAAGGTACAGAGGTCAAAGGCCTTGTGAGCCCTCAGATCATGCATCTGGTGCTGCAGAACCAAACTGATTCCTACAGCTTAGAGACCTCATGTAAGATGTGTGGCATTTCCCTCAGGGAAAACCAAAAGGGCTTCTTTAGTACCAAACAAGTCTGGAAGTAAAAGGCTGTAGTCAGAGTGTTAAATTCCGCACAATGGCAGCAGTGGGCTGCCATTGTGCGGTGCCCGGGGAGCAGTGTGGGGGTTAAGGGTCTGGGTGAAGGACCCACAGTGGCAGTCCATGGCAGTGGGGCTTAAACTCAGAACCTCTGGGATCCAAGCATAATACCCTAACCACTAGGCCACCACTCCCCGCTGATAAGGATGATGTTCATCCCCTTCTTTACCCCTTCAGTTCACAAGTCTTTAAAAAAACTGGAATCATAAATAAGCCCCAGTTATGTTATCCATAGGTTGAAGTTCTCTCTGGATGCATTTGTGTTTATTGTCCTTCGCTTATGTCCTTGTGGAGACCAGTTTGGCTTGAGGCACTCCACGTCTGGTCATAGAACTGACAGCTTGTGTTCCGGTTGATGAGATTCAAAACAATAATACTGGTCTTTGTGTGGGGTTTCGATAGACTCCTGTGTTTTAGCTTCCATCTCTCTCTATGTGCACCAGACAGTCCAGAAAAGACAGCTTGTTATCTTCCCTTCTGAACTTGAAGCTGTTGTTGATGTGATCAGTAAAGACTGGCCTAGTTGATGCGGCTGCTCATGGGATATAAAGCTTTACCTTCCCTGTGGTTTGTGGGAGACCAAACCTGCATGGAAAAGCCTCATCAGGGTCAAATGTGTGCAGCAAGCTGGTGAAATCCCTCAATACCTTGTATGTAGCAGTATTATCCTATTGATGTTTTCCTTTTTTGGGAAGGGAGTATAGAGGGAAGTTTAAAGCTGGAAAGAGGCGGCAACTTTTATCCTAAACTGTTTTGCCTTTTTTTGTTTTATATATTTTTTTTTTTAAGTGTTTGTCAAAATAATAATAAAAAAAAAAACAATCTTCCTTGCTTTCTGCAACTCTTTTCAAACATACCCAAACAAACATTTCTACATGTAAACAATTAAACATGTAAACAAACTGACGCCCCGTTTCACTGATACTCATACACACACATATTCCCCTGAGTTTATGCAGGTACACAAGAATGTGTACCTGCATTAACTCAGTGCAGAACACTAAACAAGTGCAAGTGGTAAGATATAGACATCACTTAAACACTTTCATATTTCCTTACACTTTGACCATTCCTATGCCTTACCAATCCTCTTAGTCTTTGGCTGTGGATGACCTGATCACAATTGATGAAGGGAAATTATTTGAACTCAGCGTTGTAAAGGAAAAAGCTATGCTGCAAGAACTAAGAAAAGCAGGCAACTACATGGCAGCTTTTTGACGTATCACTATACATGGATAGCAGGTTGAACAGGTGGAGTTTTTTAAGTAACTGGGCCCAAAGATAGACACCCAACGAACACCTATCTGTCATTCCAAATACACTCAGAAAAAATTCATAATAAAGCCATAATCTCAGGAGTTGGAGGCTTTTAAACGTCAGCAGAAATTATTTATTTACATATAGATTCACTAAAGCCCCTTTCATGCTGAAACCTGGGTTTTCTAAACCGAGTTAACCAGCTAACAATCCGCTTTTGGCTCTTTTCCCAATTGACAGTATAGCCGGCCGAGTCTAACCCCCTGCTGGTAAGCCGCGTGGCCACTGTCCCCAAACCACTGCGTGTCTGATGACAGCATCACGCTGAGTGAGCGTTGCTGATGTCAACAGTGCTATGGAAATCTGTAAAGTAAATAATGGAGAGCAACATGGATGGGGATAGTCAGTATTCTTTATTAATTCGTTCTGATGTCCACCCTCAAAATACTAAATGTTAATTAATCTCCTCTGCGGATTATAAGGAGCGCACAAATGTCTCTATCTTGCCAGATATACAAACGAATACAAGCAGAATTGCTTGGGCTTGTAATTCAACACACGGCCGGTGCAATGTTGGGACATATGTATGTATGTTGCGCTCAAAGTCATCATGTAATTTAGCTGGGCTTTTGTCTAGTGTTCCCACTGCATGGCGATCAGAGCTGAGGCGATTTTAACACGAGTCGCTTGCCGAGTCTTTTGAACCTGCCTCTTGTGGCTGGACTTCAATTTGTGGTGTATTACTGCCACTTACCTGGTTGGAGTATTTTAGTGCAGACCAATACTGGGTGTTGGAGTATCTGATGCTTTAGTATTAGAAGCCGTTTATGGATATAAGTAAGAGTAAATACACATGGTATCGGGTCAAAACTAATATTGTTAACACAGGACAATTTTAATCCTGTGCATCTAAGCTTAGATGCCAATGTGAATGTCAGTCATTATAAGTGGCGGTAAACTGGAGGTTTATTAACTTATTTTTCCAGTAAAATACTTTTAATCCAGTTTTAATTGTTGGTAATATTTTAATACATTTCATTTTTAAGCATCTTGGTAAAACTGATTATAAATTTCTTTATCTAAGTTAATTAGTGAGACTCCCAGGCTGTGATAGGTGTCTATTTTTTCACATAAATGTAAATGGAGTAGACTTTATTTTTTTGTATTCTGACCTACATTTTGAATGTCTGAAAATTGAAATGAAAGTTGCTTACCGCTTCCTGCAAACACACTTGTTTAAGCTCCCCCACTCTGGCATTAAGGAGAGCCTCTAGGGCCTGCTTTCTCTCCTGCAGAGCTGCAATCCTCTCGGCCTGGAGCTTGCCATCCTGGCAGCCTTGAACATCTGCAGACCGCAACACATGTTAATCATCTTTCTATAACACAAAACAGGAGCTTAACATTTAGGGCATTAGACTCAAATTTACATGTAGAGCAGCTAAAATTAGAAACGAAATACCAGTCTTGTTCCCATCAAATCTCTTTCTTTTAGTAATTTCTCACTGTTTTGTTCTCAGTTTTCTAATTTTCTGATAAAAGCATCAGGCAGCTGCGCCACTGTGTGAACAAAAGGCGTCATCAGAAAGCAGATGTGTTTTCAGCTGACTGTTCCCATGAGAAATTTGTCAGAAAAAAAAAAGCACAAGCCGCTGCATTTCTCAGGCCATTTCAAGCTTGTCCAGACATGATGGTATATTGTTCTTTGTTTTGTTTTAGACAGCGTGATGGCATTACTACTCACCAGGAGTCCCCAAACCCATTGATGTTATCAGATGTCCTTTGACCTCCATCCAAAGTAACTTCTGGGGACACAACTCACTCTCCAAGCCACACCCTTACCTGATGAAAACAGATAAGAGCTAATTTATGACCGAAGGATATGTAAGACGATACTGAAAAGTTTCCATATTTTCCTTCTGTCTGACCTTGCAGCCATCTGTGGTCTTGAGGTTTGGAGGTAGGAGCATTTTTCTTCCAAATCAGCAGTAGATAAAAATGGGCGAAGTGTTGATCATGGGAGTGAAAAGAGGAGGCACAGCACCCCGGCTCAGGTGGCTGAAGTCAAGTTCTACAAGAGATAAAGAGAAGACTAAATTATACTGCTCAAAACGATATAACACATCTCCCTGCATCTGTGGAGGTAAAAATAAATATAATTCAAAAGCAAGTCTATCAAATCACAGAGGAAAAAAGATACAGACATCCCCTGTGCACAGGAACTTTAGATGCAACTACATCCCACTGGAGATGCAAACACTTTGCAATGTGTCATTCTGTAAAACTTTAAAATGTAATGGAGCAGAATAACATGGTGTGAGACTGAAGTACGAGAAAATTCCTTTTTTATATAACTTTGGAGAATCTGGCTTACACATATATTAAGAATGAAAGTAGAGTATTTAAATCTTGTTTTGATATAAACCATTGCTCCTATCAGCTCTAAGCAGCTTCTCTTTCACTGCTAAAAAAATACAGCATGATGTTTCAGTGTGATGACGGTTTGCTTGGGCAGGTGTTTGTTTTTCTGCCAAACATATTGCTAAGCATGAACCACAGTGCAAATTTGATTTGAACTCACTACCTTTTGCCACATATTTGGGACAAACTGAAAAGAATTCTTGCATCCTCATTTCAATGTTATTTCTCTTGACACTCTTCCAATAAAGGCAAAGCTTTCCGGAAACAACAACTAATATAGACTCTAATCTGTGCAGTCAATATCTCCAGTAATAATTTACCTGACCTGACTGCCTGGCCTGTTTGTTTAGGCAGGCAGTAGGGTTGCACAGATTGCAGTTTTATAAGCCCCATCACCAATATTTAAAAAAAAAACAACCAAAAAATAACTGACTTGTCAACACAAAATTTTGTCTGTTACACATTTTTTTCTCTCATTAAGATAAACACCTCATCACAAGTTAGAAAGGTCACAGCAGACCTTTAATGTTCCTATCTCGTTTTTTTTAATAAAAAAAAACCTGAATATTATCTGTGAAACAAGAAGTTCACCAGCTGGTGCTCTGGAATATGAATTCAAATTTTAGAGCATTGAAAGCGCATCATTTTCAGACCTTTGTGGATGTAGATATATTAATTTTAAATGCAAGTAGCGGCTAATTAAACAAAAGCAAGGAATCTGCCTACTGATTATAGATTAACTCACTTTTGGGGGCGTTGAAACACCTCTAAATTGAATCAAGGGACCCTTAAAAACTGAGTTGTTTTGGGGGTTTTATAGCCTAGTGTATGCATTTTTTTTTCTAATGAAATAAATCAAACAAAACAAAAACAAAAACTTTAAATAATATCCATCATCCTATCTTTCCCAACTCTGGCAGGGATGCATTCTGATCGCTCTCTGCAGAACTATGTTCTGCTTTATGAGTGGTTGACCCACGATCGTATTTTGCTTTAACCAGAAAATGCTGCACGGTGCTTAACTTATAACTTATAACAATGCATTATCATGATTACCAAACCTCATGTTTGTTGCGCTTGAACTTAGGGTTACTCTTTATGCATTGGCAGGAATTAGCTAACGGTACATGTGTTAGGTGCCACTACCCTGTTTAAACTGGAATATAAAGAAGCTAGGCACTGTCATATGCATGTGTTTATGGGAGAATGGCAGTCAAGTCGTTAGGGTATAGTGCTTGGATTCCTGAGGTTGTGAGTTTGAGCCCCACTCCCCACAGACTGCCACTCTGGGTCTCTGAGCAAGACCCCACACTGCTCCGCAGGCGCCCCACGGTGGCAGCCCATTGCTCCCCAAGCGGATGGGTTAAATGCAGGGGAAAATTTCTCCATTGTGAAATCAATAAAGTTAAATTATTATATTATTATTATTATTATTATAAAAGCCAAGGTGCAAATAATGACAAGCTAACTGGATACCCATTAAAATTATAAACCCTGCTGTGTGTGCTGATGTTTACAGATAGCATTACCATGGACAGAGATAGACTGGCTTTTGTAAAACAAAAAAACAATTGACATAAGAGTAGAACATGATAAATAAATATGTAAATCTCTTAATAAATCTGACATACTGGTGGGGAGGTGGGGAGATTAATTTATTTTCAGAATGTGTGTGTGTGTGTGTGTGTGTGTGTGTGTGCTTGTTTTTCTACAAGGTGGGGACAATTTTCTGTTAAACCGCCACATTGTGGGGACCAGCCATTCTTATGGGGATTTTCATCAGGGTGGTGTGAATTGAGTTTTGGTTAGGTGTAGGCTTAGGTATGTACCTGTTAGGGTAAAGGTTAAAGTTAGGCTTTATAACTCATCCACAAATGAATGAAGGTAAATGGTAAGACCCCATCAGAATAGTGAAACCAGACATGTGTGTGTGTACCTGTCTAGCCCTCAGTGTGAGGACTATTTTTCCAATTACACCGTCGAATTGAGGACCAGTTGTTGTAAATTGACATTTTCCCAGTCCTCACATTCTATTTTGCTAACGGTTAGGTTTAGGGCTAAGGTGTCAAATGGTTAGGGTGAGGTATGTATTGGTAATGGTTAGGTTTAGGGTTAGTTTTAGGGTTAGTTTTAGGGTTAGTGCATAAAAATGGTTAAAAATGACTGATAATCAATGGACTTTCTTAGTTGAATTACTGCTATGAATTTAGTCTTTTCTTTACAGAGGGTGTATGTCAACTTTCAAGCGCAACTATATATATTAATCTTGTTATATACAATCCATTTTATGATTGCCGGTCCAAAGCGGGAGAGATGTGCAAAGGGAAGGAGAAGAGCAAGGTGTGTGTAAAATGCAAGGTCAGGAAAAACCGGATAAGGAAACAAATAAAATAGTGGCAGGACAAGCAGCAGCTGTTAAGCTGATGAATATAAACCTTCCACTCAGAAGAAAGAAATTAAATATATCAAGGAAGTTATGTGATGACTCCATGTTAAATGCTTTCCAGAAGCATCCATACTCTTAATAGAATGGACTTTTGTCTAAACATGACAAAACATGCATGTTCCTAATTATCTATATGCTTTTCAATCTGAAAGAGTAACACAGAAATAAAAGACAATTATAAAAAAATTTATTGACACTATTAATTTAGTGTTTGTCGCTCAGACCTCAGCAGGAAACATAAGTGCTGAATTTTTATTTGATATGCATGAAGAGGACTTAAAAAACAGGGGTGTTTCCCTCCAGGCCTTAAATTGGTGTTTGAGTGGAGATGGATGAAGTTGGTCAGTCCATAACTGTTGTATTGAGAGGTCCAGAGGACTGCGTGAGCTGATACTAGTGCTTCACTAGGGGACCTGGAAGTCCAGCATGGATAACACAGGTTGTATGAACCTGTCCATGATGAGCAAGCATGAAGCAACAGTGGAGAGGAAAAACTACCCTTAGGGAAGAAACCTCTAGCAGAACCAGGCTCAACATGGCAGTCTTTTACCGGTTGAGATGAGACAGGGAACACAGTAAGAGTCTGGGAGGAATGACACTCTGATGGTGGAGTGGGGTTGAATCGAGGTCATCTGAATCAAAGTCAGACATAGCGCAACCACTGCCTGCGCTTTGGGTAGCAAACTGAGATGTGGATTTAGAGACCCTTTTAAGATGCTCTGGATGCTGATTGTCTTTCCTGAAGGTGTGGTTCAAAGCTGATTGGCTTGTGTTGGAGGCGGGTAAGGGTAAGTAATCCGTTTTTTCAATTGAACTTCTGCCTAGGCTCCATCACTACTAGCTTAATTCCACCATACAAGGAAGAGAAGAACAGGGAGATGAGACAGAGCAGAGCAGTGAAAGAGAAGAAGATGGGTAATAGAGAGGGCAGCATAGCAGCCACCAAGCCAAAGGAACTCATAATCTCTTTTGAATTAGGGTAAAAGACTACTAGTCCTACAAAGTTAAAACTGTTCTAGTACCCATTCAAACAGCTTGGCACACAGAAAAAGAGTTTTTCATGAAAATTGTTTCAATGGCATTAAATTGTTGAAGTACTCGTCTCAAAAAATGCCGCTTTCTGCTTTTTGGCAAAAGTCTCAGATACGATGCATTAGTGAATGATGCAGTGAGTAATTGGCAAAAGGCACTGAGCAAGTTTCAAAAATGTTGAACATGTACATAGGAAACTGAATTTTATCGTTACCGCCCCGCTCCCTTGCATTAACATAAAAAAATATGTGCATATGTCTATCATTTCATCATTGCTTGATGGATGCCAAGCCTTGTTTTCAATGGTATTGTTCGATTTGTTATCAAATCTTACTTTATCGTTAAAAACAGGAAGAAAAAGATCAGCAACACATTGGGGATGAGCTTGACTGATAGTCAGCATCAGCCAATCAATCTCTAGCAGATTGATGCAATCCTTTCTCCATTTTAGATGATGGATTCAAAGGCAGTGCTCCATGACGGTTTAAAACACAGTTTTTTGCAATGGACTTTATCAAGGGTTGTTTCATTAACCCTTTATTGTCCAGGTTACAATTTTTGGTAATATATATAAACACCACTTCACAGGAAAGAAGGTAAAATTGTGAGGTCAGCTGTGGTCTGCAAGCGCTACCTGTTTCTTACAGCCCAGTGTAACTGCTTCATAGAATAACAAAAGTAATCTTTTGTTGCCTTCTATGTGTGATTTATCACCTTCTGTAAATAAAGTTTTTAAAAAGTAAATAATATAAAATATGTTAACAAGTTAAAAAGCTAATTAAATGAGTTAAAAAGCCCTGGTTAAAAATAAAACATTTAAGTTCTTGTACCATCATTCATGTTTTCAGTTATGTTGAAACAAACAAAAATTTTTTTATCTTTTTTGATGCAAGTGTTTCTTATAGAAACACTCTTTGGATTGTTTTTCTACCTTATTAGGTCAAGTGGCTGTTTTGGTATCAACATTAACTTAGATTTTTCCGTGAAAATATATATTTTATAAATGTTCCATATACACATGTTAGGTTCCGGGTTCGAATCCCAGCCTGGGGTCTTTCTGCATAGAGTTCGCATGCTCTCTCTGAGCATGAGTGGTTTTTCTCTGGGTACTCCAGCTTCCTCCCATAGTCCAAAAACATGACTGTTAGGTTAATTGACTTCTCTAAATTCTC